ATCCTTTCGTCGGTTCTTGTCGGATCCGATAAGATCCTTTCCCAGTTAAATGTCTGTCGGATTCCGGGTCACTGGATTCTGGACTCAATCCGATAGAATCCGACCGGGTTAAGTCGGAATCTGACTATTTCCGACATAATCAGAGATTGAATCCGATCGAATCCGACAAGATTCAGTGGTCGGATTTCTCGACCTGGGTAGTTAGTATTTATATGCAACATAAGAAAATGAATATTTATAAGATGCTCTAGAAATTAAAATAATCGTGTTAACTCCCAAAGTATCAGCAAATGAAAATAAGAGGAAAATAAGGACTTACCATGTTAGTTTTTTAAGGTTTCAGCTGAATATGGTGTATGTATTTCACCAATTCTATGTAGTTCTGTGATTATCTGCATTACAATAGAAAACAAATAAAGAGAACATAAATCGCAATCGCACCTAACAATCTTTGTATTCTTTGCAAGTCCAGTGTTGTTTTCGTCGGAATAAGATATTATCCACTGTGCAAAAATTGATTGAAAAGAAAGAATAAAGTGTATGCAATATGAATAGATATCACATTCATCAGAGACTAGATACATCAGCTAGATATCATATTAAACTCTAATGAGAGATCATCATAGTGTATACTACAAGAGAGTCTTGCTATGAAGTATGAATTAATTTCTTGTTATTTTTTAAAGAAATAAGCAAGATATTAATAAAATCAAAAAGAATATGTCTGTTTAAATATAATGAAACAATCTATTTGTGAAGATGTACGTTAATCGCTTTTGATTTTTAAGTTTTCATAGACTTCATTTTATCGAATGCAAATCTTAGATCAATGAATCGCATCCCCGATTTGATGAACCAATAAATTCTGATCGAATTTTGAGAATCATCACTATCAGGGAAATCGATGACTAAACCCTATTGTATGATGTTAATTAACAAATCTAATCGGATTCGAAAATAAATAATTGTTGAGAACTCAAAGGCTATCTCGTTAAACTTTTCTCAGTATTCAACATCAGATGATCTTACTAGCAGACTATTCAATTGGAAATGGCGAAGAGAAGGTACTAATGAAATCATCGATTCTAGCATCATCGTAGAACATGTACAGTCTGCAATTATCAAAGATTTAAGTGATGAATTGAACGTTACGTTCGTAAATAAGGCAAATGATTTGCAATATCAAATTAATCATTGTATAAAAATGTAGTAACCATCAAGCTATCGAATCTATTTTTAATCATCCATAATTATAAGCGTGTGGTGAGAATCGATTTGAAAGATAGTTTTCGAAATTTATGCTTAACAAAGATAGGATGTCATATGTAGTGAACTCTATCGTAAGGGATATGAGTTTATCAGCTATGTCTTGTTGATAGAAATATTCCAAAACTTTGACAGTCACATCATGGAAAACCATTGATCAAAGCCGAGTTAGTTGATAATAGTTAATTAGATAATATAATTCGGCAGGTATGCCAAATGTTTAACGATTTCTGCAGCTATTAAGAAATAAGACATTTCTTGGCTTTTCTCCTAAAAATGCAACTTTTTATTTAGTCATGAATCGGAAAAAAATGAAACCAAGGTTATACTTACATATTAAAATGTCCATATACGTTCTATTACTTCTCGATTACATAAAGACAAATATGTTGGCTACATGCAACTCATTCAATTGAGAAAATAAAAAGTGCTTTCATAGACTGTGTCTCTCATGAAGGTAAATTCCATTATCCTACACAGCTGCAATTCAGTGTGTAAACATAGATTTTTAATAGACAACTTGTCTCTCAGATTCATAAACAAATCTGCACTCATCATACATATTACAATCGACCAGATAAAGAGTACACAAAGTTAAACATATTTTTCTTTGTTTCAAAATAGAATATTTTCGTCACTAAACTTCAGAATTCTCATATTATTTTACCGTTTTTTATTTAGAAATTACAATTCAGAAAAGCTGCCTGTTTCTTGATGTCAGTATATCTTATTCAATTAAACATTAGAAAATATTCCAGAAGTTTAACATTTTTATTTCAAAATGTGATAAACTAGTATTGTTCGTCGAAGTCAATCAAAAAGAGATCATTTGAAAGTAGATATGGTTTCTTCATCAAGATCGATCTGGCTTGAAAATATTCAACATATTCTGATGAGTTCCTCTTTCAAAATGCTAAAAATTTTCAATGTATACTGTTTTTAAAAAACAAAATCATTTCTTTCTATATCTTCTTATGGAAATTATAATAAAGATAACAAAGAACAACATTCACATTTATTAAAATCTACATGATTTATGTTCTGTGTTCTTCAATCACATGGTGAAGTAATTCAATGTGTAGTCGACGAAAATGATTCATTTGATGTTTCATTGTTAGAACGAGTAGAAGCATATTTTGATTCTTTTTCAGTGCATTTCATTGAACTGTTATGTTTTGATTGTTTTTGTTTCTTACTGTTATTGTTTGATGGTTGATAAAGATTAATCGTTTCAAAAACACATCCAAATGAGTTTAAAATACCTTTATAAAAATGAATAATTTGTTGACTACGCTGATGTTCAGAATGTTTTAATTTAAATTCCTGCAATCCTGTTTTAAATTTCTTTCTTGTTAATAAAATCTGAGTTTTTGCTTTAAGTATTTCATCGGAAGTCATTGAATTCATATTTAATCGTATAGGCTTTAGTTCACAAAGTACTGATTTAGCAGTTCGATAACACGATAAGAAATTGTGATCTTGTAGAATATCTAATAAATGAGTTAAGCGACTAAGTAACTAAAATAGAGAAAGAAAAAAAATCTTCAAAATCATTTTTTGCTTATTCAGATGGACTAACTTGTCGAAATTTTTTGAAACTTCTAGCCTTAGTATCATCAGATGATTGTTGAATTGATGATACTCGAGAAGAAGATGAAAATGATGTTTGTAATTGTTCAGTAGAAATTTCTGTATTTGTTTCATAATGATCTTTAGGCGAACTTTTTATATTCGAATGAAAAGATATTGATTCAGCGGAAAGAATGAATGATGATGTAATTGAAGTTGATGTTTTGTTGTTTTTTTCAACATAATCAAACCATCGATTTGATAAAATCTACAAAGAAAATAAAGAATTAATGATGCATTATGATTTCTCTTCATGAATCTTAAGACAAACGATTCATTGATCAAATCAAGTAAAAATCAAGTTCTAAAGTTCTTATGAGCATAATTGGTAATATTCACTTAGTACACATTATAATAAGTCATTATACAATAGAACGTATGCTTTATATCATATATTTCTTTGCTCCTTGCTTATTCTTAAGAGTTTAAAGATGAAATATGCTAGCATAGTCCTACTATTTTTATCACTTAAATTTTAAAATAAACATTTTCAATATTAGAATATAGCACTATAACAAAAAAAATATATAATCTTTTTGTCAACTAGTATCAACCTTTATTTCGAGTTTTTAACAATTTAAAATTGTCATCCTCATACAATAATCATATAAGAATTACAATGAGTAAAAGAAATAGCGACAACATTTTTCATTTTTTTCTCTTCCATTTTATTATTCTGTTTAGCAAATTACAATTAGATTATCGCAGGATATGAAATACTAATGAAGAAAGATTCCCAACTGTCACATCGCTTTTGAGTCGAGCGTATGGACATCATGTAGATCCTAATGATCTATGAATCCTCTGAAAAACTCAAGAAAAGTGAGTTTCGAGTTTCTACCTTAAGCTTTGTATGTATACTGGCCTTAATGAAAATTATTTATTGTGAAGGTTTCAGATCTTTTGGTTGCTTCTAGTCCCGAATAAGAACATCAAATCCGCTAGTATACATGAGCAATTTTACCATAGCTGTATCTTAGGATAGAAACAACGAAAAAAGCGAAAACTTTCACAATAAAGTATTCTCATTGAAACCTATATCTATGTAAAGTTTCAAGTTGAAATTCGAAATTTAGTTTTCCAATATTCCTGAGGGGAATCACGACTCTTTTTTCTTAAGCATACAGTAAAAATGCAAAATCTCGGCAGTCATAAGATAGCAGCACAAATTTTTTTCACAGGATTCATAGATCGTTAAAGTATACATAATGCGCATAGGTTCTCCCTAAAAGCCATGTGACACTTGAGAATGCTTCCTCGTAAGAAATTCTTAATAAGAACTTATACTTATATACAAGTACATTGAATTTAAATTAACGCTTAATATTCGACATGAAGGAATGTGAAAAAAAAAAACTCTTATTTTGGCGACCCTAGGAACTAGAGAGCCTAAATTTTTGTGCTGCAGGGAAACAATCATTTGTATACTATGTTGTAAAAGCGAAGATTTATGTTGTGGAAATGAAGGGTACCGATGCAATGGATATGTCTTTTTTTACGAGAAAACAGAAACTCTTCATGCAATAAAGTCTTAAAAATAACTATCTAATGATCGAAAAGATCTCAAATGTGTTTCAATATTCTCTAGTATTAATCAAGACGAAACAATAGGTTTTTGTGAGTATTCGGATAAGTATATTCTTTTTTTTGTAATACTTTAACTATTTAAATACCTTTAGATTTTTGTGAAATTGTGAAAATAGATTCACAATAATTGAAAATTGCCTTAGATGATCATATTTTTTCTTATGTAATTCTATTAATGTTTTCATTGTTTGACAAATACTGAAAACATTATTTAAACAATCTGAGTATAATTTGATTTCAGATTCATTGATTAATGAAAAATATTCATCTAAATCTGACAAGTGTTGTTTTAATGGATCAATAATAGCACGAACAAAACCATATATTATACAACTATTTTTCAATAGTTGAAGTAAAATTTCATCTAAACCAGTTTGTGTAATGAAAATACGTATATTATTGATTAAATCATTGTTTGATTTTTCAAATGAATATGCTAAATATTATAAAACAATTAGATTAAAACAATTGACAATTCTTAATCATATACCGCCTAAAGATCTAGAAAATATTCTTTTAATTCAATATAAAAAAAAACCCAAAGATAAATATCATACTGATAACTTTCTTCTGGATCACGCTCTTCTTCGACTATGGTAATCTGTTTATTTCCATTGGATATCACTGAAGAATTATCTTTCGATATGAGAGATATTCTAATAAAATAAACACATATTCAGAAATATATTATAGAAATTCTTCATTACTTTGACTCTGAGTTGAATGAATTTGAGGGTGATGATATTGTGTCAGTAGATATTTTCTTCGTTTTTGTCGACATAATCATTGAACTATTATTAGAACCAACTGAAAACGAAAGAATACAAAAAAGAAAAATAATATAGATATTTAATGAAAATTTAATTGAATGAACCTTCATAGGTACAAAGATAAATCACTATACTACTGTAATTAAGTCCGTTCTTATTAATATATTCTGAAAATGTTTTATATTGATTAATATCTAATGGATGACGTTGAAAATCATACAATGAATTTCTACATTTATTTTTATCTTAAACATAAACAAAGCAAATAATTAATATAAATCTTTCTTGGTTTGTTTTTTTTTTTTATCTCACCTAAATTAAAAATATCGAGTAGACGATCATGAACACACTTGAAATCCATATCTATTGTATCCCAGTTACAGAAACGAGTACCACCACCATCTTCAAGTTCGAGCTTTTTTATTCTACCTTCTTTAGTTGAGATCAAACGACCACATCGAAATTTTCTATTCATTTTCTAATCTAAATGTTCAAAAACTAACATAATTTTATAGCTTTTCTCTTTCAATACAATTTCATTTTTAAATTTACAATAAAATTAAATATATCATCGATCATTGTAATTAAGATTAGATTTAGAAATTATCTGATAGTTACTAACTAGAAGAATTATTTTTAATTCATTGTAAGAATCATAAAAAAAAAACATCTGTAAGTTCTACGTAAAATTTTCCTATATGGTCGAATAAATTGTGAGAATAAGTCATCGTATGATTTCTACGAGCTTGAATTATATTCATTTCGTATAAAGTCAAACACTCATTTACACTGAACAATCAAATAACTAATCAGAATGCGGAACATGCCTCTCTGACAATGTGATGAGAGATATCTCTATCAGACGTGTATAATTTCCACGAAAAAAATTTTTCTTTTCAATTATAAATGTACTAAATCAATTCTGTAAGTAGTCTATCTGATTTGTTTTAGACAAGAGCTAGTCAAGGTATTAATTAAAACTAAATAGTTCCACAATCTTCTTGAAAATATGTTTGAAAATAAAACAACAATGTTACCAATAGTTTACTTCAATAAAGGAGAATGAGGCAATATGATAGATCAGAGAAATTATTTCGATTTTGATAGATTATGTTCGATCTTTAAGTTATTAATATTTTTTTAATGAGAAGTTTTCATTGTTTCTACAATTCTATGCGTGGATCATTATACCTAAATCGTTTGTTGTTGTTAAATAAATGTTCTTGTCCGAAATTTATGACTAAAATGTAAATCCAATGAATTTAAATATACATTAGATGATTTTATTTCGGAGATACGATTTGAAATATTAATTGAAATATATTCGCAGATTGTATTAATCTGAAACATTGTTGTCGTGTACACATATAAGCAGATGCATTGCATCTAATAGCAGATATACTTCTTATCAGTTGCCGATGAAAGGGATATTCATAGGAGTGCTTGTTCATACACAGTGTGATGATGTATTAGATTATCAGACTGATCTTGCTCTTACCTTCTTTAGCATTTCATTCGCTCAACTACCGATAGACATATGGAGTTCATTTTAGACAAATCCGTAGCACTTATTTTCAAATACTACATTTATCTTTATACAAATGGTAATAGATGTCTAAAGATTGTCTATATTTGAACATATTTACATCGTTATCCAGCTCTAGCAATTCATTAAATGCGAGTCTTTTACAAGTAATGATTTTTATTCATAGTGAAGACTTTCAATTCAGGTGAGTGTCCTAATCAATGTTTGAGTCTGAACGTTTAGTTATTGGATTTTTGGCAACTGGAAACGGTCCCCATGATATTTAATGGTAATTACGGCATACTGGATCAACATCTGGCTATTACTTGGATCAAAAGCCAATATTCATGCATTCGGAAAAGACCCAAATCAGGTTTGAGCAAGTAGACATTGAGTAGACAATTATACGAAACTAATCTGTCTTTAGATTACATTATTCGGTCGAAGTGCTGGTACGCAATTATCCAAAGTGTACCAATGACAGTTCCATTGAGATACTGCGATCAGATCAGTATGATTAAAAAAATTATGTTTGAATAGAACATACTTCGAATATGTAATATCTACTGTTCTTTTTTGTTCAAAGATTTCATTGTGCTACTGATAATATAGAATGTTTTTGAAGCCATTCTACCGACGAAATCATTGCTGCACAGCATGCGCTGAATCGCCGATTAACTTCATTGAATGTTTTGCTGTTTTTTAAATCATTAGCTTTCGTTATCTTTCAGAAAAAAGCATTCAAAATTCTCAAAAAATATCCACCAGTCGGTTCGAG